AGGATAATGGATCGCCTTGCCTTAGACCTTTTTTAGGGCAGAACTCAGGAGATGGTGACCTATTAACCAGAATTGAGACTCTAGCAAAAGAGATACAGCCCTTCATCCACTTGATTCAAGTAGATCCAAAACCAAAACTCTCCAGCATTTGATTAAGGTAGTTCCAGTTGACTGTGTCATAAGCTTTTTCAAAATCAAGCTTCAGGAATTAGACTATATTTGATTTTTGTGTTTCTAACATTACTGAAAAAATAAATATGGAGAGAATAATTGACAGAGCAAACAGGCTCTTTGTTTTCAATTGTATTAATCCTTACGGGGAGACTCCATTTTATAGGAGTGATTATACAACATTTGCAAGACAATATAATAAAAAGCTACTAGACAACATAATGAAAGGCAACAATCATAATTAAAGGCACAACATATAAAACTAAAAGTAGCCGAAAGGAAATGGCACTAACTAAAGCAAATTGCACTATCTAAGGCATCTGATGACTACTAATGACACACAAATATAATATATACATTATATATATTATATATTATTAATAATGAAAAGAAGCTTGATTTCAAACAATTACTATTCTTTTAATCTTTTTCATAACATTACCAATTTTGAAATCATAAAAATCTTGAGTTTTTAACTAAGAACTAAACAAATAGGCTAACTCAATACATATTATATGCATGTACCATAAGGTTTAATTATGATATTTTGTCATCTTGTTATGAATATTGTGAATGTGTAGTGTCATTTATTAAAGTCTTTTGTTTTGCAATGTTACTTGCGAATGATTGTGATATAATTACGAATGTCCATAAAATAAACACATTTTTGTAAAGGTGTGTATTAATTCATATTTCTTTGTAATACGAATTCTACTTATTGTCAAGTCAATAAAACAATCAAAATCCTAAAAATTCTATATGATAGGAGTTCCACAGGTGGAGTTGATGTCATCTTTAGCTGTTAACTGTGGCTTAAGAAATGAATGCTTGCTCAATGGTGTTCAACCAAAACTAGGGGAGCTGCAAGAATCAATCATCATCAAACTAGCTATTTGGCTTAAAGCTTCATTCAAGGATTTCCACTATTCTATAAATATTTCACGGATTAGAAAGTGTATAGGTGAAAGGGTGTGAAGTGTCGTGTATGTTTTTGGAGTGTCTAAAGATCTGTGTGAGTTGGAATCTTTCTAACTCTATTTGGAGGGTTTGGGAATGCAAATGATTAGTCTTACTTTGGGTGCCAACATAATTAGGATGCTTAGTTTTAATAATAAAGCAACTTTTATTCAAATCATTTTGTAACCTTTCTTTATTTTAATAAATTTTGTTTATTGCTCAAAAACAAAAAAAAAAAACAAAAAAACTGGCGACTTAATACCTTTAACTTCACATGGATGTATTTTCTTGGCAATTCTTTTGGTACATATTGTTTAAGAAATGTGTACCATGTGCATTTTATTATGTATTTTTTTAGTACTTGTTATAAATTCTTATGAAAATGTTATGTAATATTCTTGTAGAGATGGGCTTCCTCTAGTCCAAGACCTATACTGGAGGGAGTTATATGAGTTTGCGGGGCCTTTCGTGGATAACAACTTGATAATTTGAATTATTCGTTTTCTAATAACATTCGTGTATATTATTCTCATAAAATATTAAGTTGATCTAATAATCATAATCTGTTCAATTTGTTGCGTTCGTCTCCAAAAATGAGAGACTATTCACCAGTTGCTCTCCATTTTTTTCATGCCATCTTCCATGTGTGCTAATTAAATTAAAAAAATGGACCAATAGTTAAATATTTCATTTTTTGTCATTGAGGCTACTCTTGAAATTTTAGTCCGATAATTATCTAGTATATGTGGAACGGACAGACTAACTGGAGCAAAGCTTTAGACAGAAGTTGTTGACTTGAATTGAAATAATAACTAAATTTATCCATTGTTTATTTACGATTACGTTGCATAAAATTGCACTAGTATTTAATTTTCAGTAGTGCTATAGAAGTCGACAATTGGCTTGAAAATGATTTACGTGCTGAGTATTGATGAATTAGATTATAGTGGGTTCATGTCATTTTTTTTATATAAATTTAATTTATATAAGATATTACAATGAAATCCAATGAATTACAATCATATCATAGTAATGAAAATCAAATATAATACAAATTTTTACACACACGCACACAGGTGGAGAGATTCGAACTACTGACCTCTTAGTGAGGCGCAGGAGTTCTGTCCAATCAAACTAACTCCGTTGATTAGTGGGTTTATGTCATTGACTAATTTGTATTCGATGTCAATTGATTTCATGCCAATTGTCAATTTAAAATATAATTTTTTTCTGCATTTGTTGTTTTCTATATGGGGAGGGAGAGAGAGTTTTCCGTGTGAACCTTCCTTTTTTTTTCTTCTTTTTTTTTCTGTGTGATCTTAGTGAATATCAAATACCATGCATCAATTTCTTCATGAAAAGCTTATTGCGAAATGTACCTACACTCAACTTATATATATATTGATGCAAACTAGCCAATGATTTGTTGAAACTTAGTGAGGAGCACATATATTCACTTTAAAGAAGCACATATATGCATGCATGTCATTTTATGTGCCTTCTTGGGTTATTATGAGTAGCCTTCGAGTTCATAGACCTTTGGATGATGCGTATGAGAATAAATAATCATCTTGATGTGCTTAGCAAAACTACAAATGCCATAAGAATAATCTTTTTCATACAATCGAAAACTTGAAGCAAATGTTGTTTTACATTATGTATTCATACACACAAGATATATATATATATTAGTCTTATGCACCTAGGCCTACAATTCATAAATCTTTTATGATCATTTCTATGAACTTAATTAATCACTAAACCACGTGCCATTATATATACAAATCCATTATCATCTTTCGCTTCTTACATCAAATTTTATATTCACAAGCACTTTTTACTACAACAAAAAATGAATAGTATTGTTGTAAAGCATACAATAACGAAAAGCCACACGCATTCTATCTATCAAAGGAGAGGAACACGCACTTATTCTTTTTCCAATCTCCATCTTATTTTTTTTCTTTCTTTGTTTAACATTATGCATGCGTTGTGCCAATAGATTCCAACATTATCGCGCCCATTGTAATTAATTGGTGTGGCTCCTACTCTTTTCCTTAGATTACTATTACATATAATAACCTTTGATTAAAGTGAAGTTAATTGAAAGTGATCTAATCCTACCACCTCAAAACCATTCCGATCAAGTGCTCTATCCACCATATCTTCTATTATGTATAAGGAAACCATTGATTAAAGTAACTATTCATATTGAGATCGCGATCCTATTCTCTCTCCTTTTAAGATATAGTATATAATTGTCTCAGTATTATTTTAATGACTATAATTAACAACAAAGAAAAATTGCTTGAGGCAATCATGTTGTGGTGGCAATCCACTTCATAACCAATTAGTTAATTAGCCAAAAATGCAATAATAATAATCAAGGTGGTGCTAATCCCACATGGCAAAGCAATTATTATTTAGTTCTTATTGAAGTTTCGTTTATCATATATAAGTGGAACTGTCATGTTAATTTTTAAATACTTGCTCAAATGAAGTCATTCTTTAAGTAGGTGTTTGATAGGCACTAAAAAGGTACACTTTTTTTTTTCATACATATACTTATTTAAGTCACATCAATTAACATCTATCAACATCTCCTCTTTATTTTTCTATTCACTTTTTTTTTTACTTTTTTACACATTTTTTTTTTATAAAAAAATCAAAAAGTATACTTATTTAGACTATCTCAAATTCATTCAACTAAAAATTGTTGTAGTCATTTTAAATTCAATATTTTACAATCTTTTTAGCGTGAACAATTAGAAGATGCAATACGAAATAGGGATAAACTTTGTACAAACGTACATGTTAATTATTCCTTGTAGCTGGAAAATTCATCGAAGATTGGCGGATTTAGAATCAAACTACATTTTAACTTGGCCATGGTTAGGCCTCGTTTGGGAATCTTCCCTCTTAGCCAAAAAGTCAAAAAGTTACTAGATTAGCCAAAAAGCTAATAACCCATACCAAAAAGTCAAAGGTTCTCTTTTCTCTCTACTTTTTACACATCTTTTCGTAAAAAGTCAAAAAGTCATCCCAAACATACTAGTTTTTTTTAGCTCATATTTTAGCTAAATAGCCAAAAAGTTAGTAAATTAGCATGTTCCCAAACGAGGCCTTAGTGTTAGAATAGTAGAGAGAGAGAGGGGAAAAAATATGTATTGTATTTAATGAATTGTATTGAATGAATTTTTCCTATACAATAGAAGGCATGTATATATAGGCTAAGAAAGAATATCTTACTAAAAATCTAATTATGAGAAAGAGTATTCTATAAGAAACCTAACTATGGCAATACTTAATATATCTAGGAAATCAATACCTAATAAATTTAAGAATATATACCATATATACATTAACATCACCTCTCAAACTCAAGGAGGATAAACATTTTGAGTTTGGAAAGAGAAACTAAAATATGAAATAAAACTAAATAAAATAAAAGAGAAATAAATTGCAAAATCCTAACTGGAGCGCAAGGGTGTTTGAAATAGATCAGAGACCGAAACTAATGCCGAGAGACAGTTTATGGTCCTATCGGATTGTAGGAACTAACTGAAACTAATGGCAGGACAGTTTAAGGTCTTGCTGAGCTAATGCCGGGAGACAGTTTATGGTTATACTGGACTGTTGTAGGAGCTAACCGGAATCAATGTTGGGACAGTTTACGAGGTCATACCAGACCGTTGTAGGAATTGACAGGAATCACTGTCGGGACAGTTTAAGGGGTCATGTCAGACCGTTGTAGAGACTGGACGTTGAACCAACAAACGTGACAACACATATAACTTATGACGTGGTGCTGAACTATGCTGGCAATAAATGACTAAGTACACCAGGGAATGGCTTGGATGGTGCGCTAGGGAATGACTTTGTTGGTGCGCCAAGGAGACGACTTAGAGAGTGCTCCAAAAGGAGACAGCTTAGAAAGTGCTCCAAAAGGGGGTGGCTTAGGAAGTGCGCTAAGGAGACGACTTAGGTAATGCACCAATGTGGCGGCTTAGAGAGTGCATCAAAGGAGGCGGCTTAGGGAGTGCACCAAGGAGGCGGCTTAGGTAGTACGCGAATGAGACAACTTAGAGAGTGTGCTAAAAGGAGGTGGCTTAGGTAATGTGCCAATGAGACGGCTTAGAAAGTGCGCCAAAGGAGACGGCTTTGGTGGTTTGCATGGTGTATAACCATATTCACCATGATATACCCTCAATCCCACTTTTTCTTTTTCTTTTTGTGCTTCTACTCCATTCTGTCTTTCCATCTGCTTCAACCTCAAATTGGTTTCTATCTTCAAACCTATTTGCATAAGGAGTGCACTAAGGAGGCGACTTAGGTGGTGCGCCAATGAGACAACTTAGATGCGCTAAAAGGAGGCGGCTTAGGTAATGTACCAATGAGATGGCTTAGAAAGTGCACCAAAGGAGGCGACTTCGGTGGTTTGCATGGTGTACAACCATATTCACCATGATATAAGTTTGATATTTATTTTTTTCGTGGTGATCGCTTCATTTGTCCACTAATTTATTCAATGAAATTCGTTCAATACTATACATATTAAAATGAAATAAAAAAAATAGATTGCGAGTTTAAAAAAACAAAATTGATAGAAATATTTGGGATAGGAATAAACCAGCAGACAAAGAAAAAAATCACCATGAAGCGATACTGACAAGAAAATATGACAATAAAATAGGTTGAGGTCTAGCGGGCAGTCAAGGCAAGGCGGCCGCCTGCCAATAAGGCGAAGAACACCAAGATTTTAACCTATAACTCTGATACCATGTTAGAATAGTAAAGAGAGAGAGGGAAAATAATATGTATTGTATTCAATTAATTGTATTGAAAGAATTTTTCCTATACAATAGAAGGCCTGTATATATATGTTAAGAAAGAGTATCATACTACAAATCTAACTATGAGAAAGAATATCCTATAAAAAATCTAACTATGGCAATACATAATATATCTAAGAAATCAATACCTAATATATATATATAAATATATACCATATGTACATTAACAATTAGGTTGATTGATTTTTATTCGATTGGTTAACTATACTATTTTCAAAATGAGAATCCTTTCTTTCTTCTTTTCTTTACTTTTTTCCAATAATTATAATTCCTAAAATTATAATCACTAAACCAATAATTGTTATCTACTACACAGAAATCCTTTTTACTATCTCACATGTTATTGTGTGTATACATCTAATGATTAATGTAATCATTAGATGTATACACACAATAACATGTGAGATAGTAAAAAGGATTTCTGTGTAGCAATAGAGATGTATATGGGAATTGGGTGTTTAATTTTAGGAGGCCACTTTTTGCTTGGGAGGAAGCAGAATTGAGTAGATTACTAGTACTTCTGAGTAGGCCTCCTTTGCTTAGAGCTAATGTGGCAGATTGTTTGACTTGGAAGGCAAATACAGCTGGTTGTTTTAGTGTCTCATCTGTTTATCAGTGGTTTGAATTGGGCTTTGGGTCTAATAGTTTGATCTCTAGAGTTTTGTGGAAGGCTCCTGCTCCACCAAGGGCACAATTCTTTGGTTGGTTGGTGTGGAAGGGTAGAATCAAGTCTGCTAGTTATTTGCGCAGAATTGGTATCCTAAATGACAATGTTGATGTTTGTTGTGTTTTTTGCAAAGAAGAGGAGGAAACTATTAACCATGTGTTACTTCACTGCCCTCGTGTGTGGCTGATCTGGTCTTATTTTGTCAGAAGGTGGAGGTGGCAATGGGCTTCACCAGGTTTTGTTCAGAGTGTTATTCAGTGGTGGACGGGTTGTAGCATGAGGAAAATGGAAAAGAAGCTATGGAGTGTAATTCCATATGCTATTTTCTGGTCCATATGGAAACAGAGGAATGACTCTGTGTTCAATGGGGTGGAGCCTAATTTTCTAGCTTTGTGTGAATCTATTGAGGTTCGAATTGCTTTGTGGATTAAGTCCTATGTCCCAGCTCTGAACTTCACTGTCAATGACCTAGTTCATAATTTGCAACAGATTAGAAGATGCTTGGCTTAGGAGTTGTTGCAGCAGTTTGAATGGGATCTTTGTGACTTTCTGCAGCTTTGGTGGGGTAAAGCAGAGGAGGTTTCAATTGTCGGTGTGATGAAATGGTATGTTACTGGTTGATCTGTGTGGGAGGAAGAATAGTATGTTATGCTATGAATGCTGTATGGCTGGAGTGCAGTTGGAGTTATTGCTTCTGATGGCTAACACACTCTTCTGCCAGCTGCTGTAGTTAATTGATTCAGCTGGGGGCTAATCCATCTGAGGGTTGTGCTGTGTGGAGTAACTAGGCTTAGCAATTTTGGAAGTTTGTTGTTCTGGTATGGTGCCTTCTGGGGATGTGCTGTGTTGATCTAATTGTGTCTGAATTTTGGTCTGCTATGGTTGAATTATGGTCTGCCAAGGCTGAAGGCAATTGGTTCATGGGCTGTTTTGATTGGGAGGCTCATCAGTTTCAATGTGCTGGTTTTCGGCCTACTTTATGGTGGCTACTATCAGTTTGCTTTCTTAGATCCCAGGTTGAATCCTGCTGGAATTTTGTAGTATAATTCTGTTTCTGGGTTGAACTGTGCAGAGGAGGAAGTTTCAAAATTGGTCTGCTGTTGGTAGTTGGGGGTAGTAATTATAATTGAGTAACTAGGTGCATGCTGGTTCTGAGATTTGTTACACATAGTGGATCTGCTGCTGCTATATACTCCAAGGAGAAGCTCTTGTTTTAGAGTTGAGTGGGTCAAAGCATTGAGTTCATATTTGAAGCATCTTAACAGCTGTTCAAGGCAAGGTGTTTGGTATGCTTTGTTTGAGCTGTGAGAATTCATGGCATATAGCTCAGAAAATCTGTGCCTTTTTTGGTGATTGTAGTGACTAAGTTGTCTGTTTTTTCTGGTTTTTTCTCTGTTATGTTTTGCTCGTTGGTTTCTCACCAACTTGGAGGTTGGAGCTTGTTTTAGCTCCAAGCTTCACTTTATTGATGTAATTTTCCTTTTCCATCAATAAAGTTTTCTTTTGCCGATCAAAAAAAAAATCTAATGATTAATTACATGAAGTGTATAATCCATTCAGTATGAATGTTTTATGAAGCTTCCTCACACGACCCTTTTTTTTTATTTATCAAAAACTATAATTAGATTAATTTAAAACTCTGCATCTAATAAATAATGGTAAATAGTTTTCAAATTTAACCCCTATTCTTTAAAACTCTGCATCTAATAAATAATGGTAAATAGTTTTCAAATTTAACCCCTATTCATCAAAACATACAAAAATTTAAATATAAAATTATAAATAGATAATGTTTGGAGTGTTTGAAGGCATAGTATGGAGATGGAATGAGTAATGCTAGAGATTTACATTTTTTACTCATAAATTTACTCATAATGATGTGATAAGAGAATTGGACCCTTAATGATTGTATGTGTAATAAATAAAAAATTAAGATTTATCATGACATATCATTGTGAGTAGAATTGTAAAAAAAAATTAGTCTCAAAAACATTTTCAGAGGTGGAATATCCAAATCAAACGTGATTGAGACCCCCACTCCCCCCACCCTACACACATATGGAGATTGGTGATTGAGAAAAAAAAAAACAAAAAATTTTGACCAATCACACCCCACTGAGTCTTGGGGGTCACCCCAGTGGGGGTTCTTGAACATTTTTGTATCCAAATATTCTTGGCGTGTACGTCGGGTGGTGGAAGCTGACGCATGGCATGGTCAATGGATGTGTCCTTGGATCAATGCACATATACATATATAACATGATCTTCATTACCTTATGTTAAAAAAATTTAGTATTCATCAAATGTTTTTTTAATAATTCAAATTATTTATTTTATGAGTTATGAATTTTAATTTATCATATGCATATTCATATATTAGTCATTGTTGGCACACATGATACGTGTCAATATTACTCGTGTGTCTAATAATAATAATAATAATAATGATGATGATGATGATGATGATGATGATGATGATGATGAGAAACAGTTATCAAAGAATTGAGACAGTTATTTGATCATGTAAGAGTAATTATATAATTTCAAGTATTCCAACTGACGCATTTACATTAGAATATGGTATAGTTTAGATGTAGAGAGACATGAAAGAAAAGAAAAGAAAAGAAAAGAATAGAAAGATGGAAATAGAAAAGTGAAATTAAGAGTTTGGCTTTGGAAGGGGCATCATCCAAGCATGTATGGGTAACGTGTAGTTGAGAGAGAGAGTTGCATGGCAGGCAAAGACATTTACTAGTGATGGTGGGGGGTCGTAAAGCTTTGTGGGTCCGAATGCTTTCCTTGTATTTTATGATACGCCAATTTGCCGAGGCTAAATCCACTTGAGTTTGAGCCCTAGATATTTTGTTTTAGGGTTCGTAAATAATTGGATTACACAGTCTTTCGTATATTATATTACTCAAATATATTCTTGATCAACTACTTGAAATAATAATATACTTAAAAGTTTGGGATTGTACATTTTTGCTCACGGGTCCAAAATGATCCTGGTATGATAACTTGAACAATTTATCTTGTAGGTATATATATGTATGTATCAAATTGATATTAGTTCATATGATATCGTCTTTATATTCAAAAAGATGAACACCCTATTGTAGGGGTTGTTTAGTTTTCATTTTGGGCTAAATAATCACAAAAGAATAAAAAAAAAATCAAAAAATCACAAATAGTCAAAATTCACAAAATGACAAAAAAAAAAAATTCACCATTCCAATGCCAAAAAAGCCAATCAAAAATAGCAAACGAACAAAAAAAGTCATATGCTAAAAAAGTTTAAAAAGCCAAAAATCTAACTAAAAAAGTAATTACCAAATGAAGACTTAAACTTATCTCTCTTTTCTTTTCTCGTTTCTTTCTTCAAAAACCAATGATAAAATTACGTCAAGTGAAACTGATGATAATTCTCATTGATTATTTATTGGTATTGTTTACAACTTTTTCTTATTATTAACTTTTTGGTATTGTTTACAATTATAATTGCAACTTTTTGTTATTATAGTTTGTGTGACATAAATAACTTAAATAAATTAAAACAACTTGATTACGTGAAAAATAAAAGAGATATGCTTTTAACTTATATTTTAAAATTATCAACTATTAATTTGAAAAACAGTACTATTAAATAGGTTTTAAATGAGTTTTGATAACTACAAACTTATTTGATGCTTTCATAGTGTTACTATTGTGTATAGTTTTGGAAAATGCTACATATAGGAGGATTTTTTACTCCCTTTTTTTTTTTTTTTTTTTTACAGTTAAATGCTAAACACAATGATTTCATATATATTTATCAATGTCAACTCGTGATATTTGTGGAGCGTTACGTATTGTAATTTAGGAAGAGGCCTCTCTTTGAGTGTTGTTTGGTTTCATGATATATACCTATAATAGGTTTTACTTCAACAATTTAAATAGTTTATATTTTTAATTAGGAGTTTTGTCTTTCTTAATTTTAAAGGTTGATACAATTTTTGAAAGAAAAATGTTTAGAAGTTCCCGAGAAAAAGTTTTAGAGAGAGCTCTAATGATAAATTTCATCATGTGATGTGATATTTTAACTTGTATTTTTATTTATTTGTTTTTTTTTATCAGTAATGTTATATACACCAATTATGTTACATTATAAATTAATACATTAGTTAATATATTAATTAGTACATATAATTTTTTTTTATTATTTTATTTACAACGTTACTGGAGCTCATATGTCTCAGTATCATTGCTATTTTTGGAAAGCGTTACCCAAGTGGATTGAACTTGAGAAAAGGCCAAAAGCTAAAGAGAGCATTAGAAGCGTGGAACAGAGAGAGAAAGGGCTCTGTAAATGCTGATAGCGTGGAGTCCAAAAACATAATGCTTTGAAGCCGTCTACTGTTCTTTCTTTCAACAACTTTCTCATCATCGGTTACGCGTTTTTGTCTTTATTATTTTGGATTTTTGTGCTATCAGTTGCATGTCTCAATATTATTGTAGCTTCTTTTTTTGCGCCTACTCCAGACTCCAATATTTGCGTCACAAGATCAAAATTATCAAAAGGAATGATAACTATTATCAAAAGGGTAGAGGATTTTTGTTTATCAACCAAAAAAAAAAAAAACACACACACACACAACTAAAGATTACATAAATAATTCAAAAAATAAAAAACTTATAATAGTGACATCTCATTCCCAGGGCTGAATAAGGAATTCGTGAAATTCGTAATCCGATCCAGTCCAGTCCAATCCGATAAGTTTGGATTGGTTTTTTGAATCCATGGTTCGATTCCGGATTGAACAATTAAAAATCCGTAGTCCATAGATTGGTTCCGGATTGAACTCCACGGTTCCGGATTGGAACCGATCCAGACCGTATACAAATAGTCTATATTTTTATTATACATCCTCCCCATAGTATCTTCTCTTATTCCATATAAAACCTAAACTCAAACCTAAAACCGTATAATATCTTCTTTTATTACTTTTGTTTGTTAGTTTTTAGTTTTAATTTGTAATGGTTTAAATACTTATAGTGAAACTAATTTTCTTATGGTTGTTTAAATTCTAAAACAGTATGTCGCTATTATAGAAAGACATGTTGCTATTGTGGAACTAATAGAGCGCCATGTTTATGTTTTTATGAAATTAAAGTGTTATATATATATATTTTTTTTGTTATTTAATTTTATGAATCCGTGGTCCTAAATCGATCCAATCTGTGTTTAAATGGATTGGTTCGGATTGGTTCCATGATTTAAACGGATTGGATTGGTTCCAATTTTTCAGGAACCGTAAATAACGGATTCGTCCTGGTTTTACCTCCAATCCGGACCATGCTCACCCCTACTCATTCCAACTAAATTGGCACAAAAAAACAGACTAATCATATGCAAACACTTCTCAAATTCCCAAATTGGCAAATGTTAAATATTAAAAGTTAGGGCAAATATTTCAATTCTTATGAATTTATCATAATTATTTTAGACACTTTAAGGTTTTAATTTACAAAATATTGTCTCTTGTTCGTCTACAATGCATTAGCTATATTGATAAAAATAAAATAAAATAAAATAAAAAAGAATTATTTTCTCTTTTATATTAAAATATAAATTTTATCTTATTTATCATTGTGTTTTTACCCCATTTGTATTAAATCTCAATAAAATTAATACAATTTACCCTAAAAGATAAAAGGTGTCCTTAAATTATAAGTTTTCAACAAATGTTGAATTATTAAAGTAGATGTGTGTATAATATAAAACTTTAATGTTCTATTTGATTTATTAGAATGAGATAGAATAAAATAATAATGGGAAAGTTATCCATAAATCTTAAATGTTAAACTTGTGTTCTATTTAGTCCTAATTTTTTTTTTTCTGATCCATTTGGTCCTTTGTGTTGGAAAAAGACAGAATTGCCACTGGTTTTTGTTGATTAGTATTACAGCTGTGATTTACATGATATTTGAGCCTCGCGTTTAGTGAGAATGTGCAGCGGTGTGCGAAAAGCGCGTAGTACACAGAGCAATGGACCACCTTTTAC